ACAACGGGAGGATAGTGCTACAGTGCTATGAAAGAAAGTAATTAGCATAGTGACTGCTTATGCTATTAAACAGCATTATTTGAAACTATTATTCTCAAAAGATATTTCATCTGTGTATTATGTAATTGTTAGAAATATAGAAATATTAATATGATTATACTTTTATTAATTTGACATATTAAGTTAACTTGAACTTAATTTTATGAATATTTGAATATTCATCTGTATTTGATCTACAAAATTGTTAAGTGCATGTGGTCTAACTTATGTTTTCAAAATCAAAGGTTATTGATTTACTCTGCCTCATTTTATTTGTAGAAATTAGACAAAGGATAGAGGAACACATAAAGTTGAATGTTTTGTGGTATGCTTATCAAATTTTTATGTTTGTAGATAATTTTAAGTTTGTATGAATTCTAAGTTTGTACCTAAAATTTTAAGTTTGTACATAAAATTGTATAGAAATATAATTTAAGGACATAAAGTTGATAGTAGTATTTACTGTGCTCATCTGTTTGTTTCCATATCCTACAGCTGGTTTCTTCCATTAAGGATTGGTTTAAACTTCAAACAATTCTCCAGCTTCAGAACAGAAGATCAGTTAATGATTCCCTGACTGATACTGTGCATATTTACAAATTACATTATTCAACCACTGTAATTTCTATATATTTGGTCATTTAGCTTTTCTGGCTCTTAGAACTATAGCTAACCCTGAAAAGTTCTCTAGATTTTTGAGAATTTTGTTCAATGTTACAAACATAGGTGAGGTGACTTAAAGATGATGAAGATTGTTTTTTCTTAAGTAAGCTCTTGTTTTCATTTAGATTTTAAAGATTTTTATAATGGAAACCTTGATAAATTAGATTTTTGTATAATAATAGTACCAAACAATGTTGAATGTTTTACTGCTAACTTTAAAGTCTGTAAAATCCCAGATTCATCAGACTGAATATTTGCAACTTTTTACCATAAGAAATAATTTCACCCACACAGAATTTCCTGTCTTTATAGTCTAATGGTAGAAATTCAGAATTATTAGCCAAATTAATTGTTTCACGTTGTTGGTCTTTAGAACATTATAAGCTGTAATGGAATCACTGAATTAAGAACAACAAACTGAATGTACTCTTTAATGTATTCTGTGACCAAATGCTATGCTCATCATTCTTAAAGAACACTTAAAAACTACCAAAATGAATACTAAAACCAATAGAATAAACCATCTAGAAAAGTTTGAAACTATTTCATGTGTGCATAATTTGATGTCGCCTCAGAATCCGTCATCTTGGATCCTGAGTTTTAATTGTTTTCTCAATGTTTGCTCCTAATATTTTGTTTTATGGCCATACCTAGCAGTGCTCAGTGGCTACTTCAAGCTCTGTGCTCTGAAGTTTTTCCCAGTATTATTCATGGAACCATGCAGTACCAAAGATTGAATCCAGGGGCTCAGCATGTTAAGTATGTACTCAAGTCCTTGGTGCTATCTCTCTGGCTCTTCTGTCCCATAGCACTGAAACACTGTCTTCCCATTGTTCATCAATTTGTTAGAGCGGGCACCAGTAACGTCTCCATTGTGAGACTTGTTGTTACTATTTTTGGGATATTGAATACGCCACAAAGAGCTTGCCAGGCTTTGCCATGCGGGTGGGATACTCTCTGTAGCTTTCTGTGCTCTCCGAGAGGAATGGAGGAATCATGCATCATACATCAAAGAAGAAAGAATAGAATGCACATATCTTCTGCCTACAAAACATGTATTAACTCAGAAGTTGGACATTCAGATACCTACACCTGGATTATTGAGATATTTAGATGGGTGTAGATGGCATAACGTCTCAGGATTGAAAATATGGAGCACAGGAAAATATGGAGCAGTTGAATGTAAGTAGCTTTTATTTTGGGAGATCACACCTGGCAAGACTCAGGGGTTGCTATGGGCCCTGCACTCAGGAATTACTCCTGTCGGTGCTTGGGGAACCAGATGGGATGCTAGGGATTGAAGCAGGTGGGCCACTTGTAAGGTAAACCTCTACCAACTGTACAATTGCTTCAGCCCCAAGTCAGCAGCTTTTTAAAGAGGTCAGTCATCACTTCACTGTTTGTCCCACAGGAAAGTGGTTTTAGGAAAGCTGTGATTTTCAAGCAAATACAGACATGTGGGATTTTATCTGAAATGATCACATATTTAAATGTGTGTAACTAATTCAAATTTTAAGCCCTGTGGGTTAAATAAAACACATCTGTGTGCTATCAGGAAAGAAATTCTGGATTTGATGCTCACAGCCTCTGTTGATATATAAATGCTATTAAAAATGAAGGATGTTGACATGCTGTCTTTCATTAATATTTATGACCAATCAAAGGAAATGTTTAAAATGAAACCAGTGCATTTCATTAATCAGCAGATGATAGGGGCCTACTACATAGGTTGCTACTACATATTTATTATTAAGGAAACTCAAGATACAGTATTTGCCTATTCATAAACATAGTAGGGGTGGGGAGAGGAAACAATTTCTGGAGTGGGTCATTCACTCGTGAGAATGGAATACAAAGAAAGGACAAGAGTTGAACATAAGTGATGGTTCTCTAAAAGCCGAAAGTAGAATAAGGTCTGTCAAGTTCCAGGAAGCATCAGTTATTATTTAGTATACAAAAACAGTGGAGGAGGGGTAGATAACTCAAGAAGAAAAAACTTGAATATTTTATATCCCGTATTGATGCCTTCCAAATTGAAATATTATGCTGATATAAAAATTTCATGGAGACATAGGCTTAAAAATTTTTCTAAAGATGTAGAAAAACAGAGAAATATCCAGTTGCTATGGAGCAATTTGGAGTTCCCCGAGACGGAAGAAGAGAGGTGAACAGAATCATTAAACACAATGTGCCATTTAGTTACTCCAGACAGCTTACAGCATCTGTTCAGTGCACCAAGCAAAGGGCAAGGCGTAAGGGTCCATTTCTATTTCTGGCATTGATTGTTCTGGGACCTGGAGGAACAGAGTGACATCTTTTGGCATTCAGGTCACTCCATCTGTAAAAAAAGACAATGCAGATCCCCAAGGTATTTTGTGCCATACTTTCGACATCTATAAACAATTTGCAAATTTTAAAAATCAAGGCAACTGGGAAAGCAGGGAATGCGTCTGCTCCTCTCTGTAACTTAAGGAATTAATGGCGAATTACAACGATAAGTCACCAATCGGATGCCTACTGGAATATTCTTATTTGCTTTTCACCCTTGCTCATCTTAGAAACCACCCTGTTTATTTCTAAGTATTGTTCTTTTTACTCTCATTTGCTTTGCATTTAATTTAAAAGGAAAAGCAGCTCGAGGCAGAGCCATTATATAAATTGCAGTCCCCATATTTTCCCTTTGGAAATTGAGGCATCTATATGTGTGAAGCAGTAGCTAAGCAAAAAGAGGTACGAGTCACATGCTGAAACCGGGAAGACCAACAATTGAGCACAAATTATGTGAAGTCAATCATGTTACTTCTATTCCTTAAAAGCTGTCCTTTCTAAGTCTGAGTCACTGTCACTGTCCTCCCGTTGTTCATCGATTTTCTCGAGTGGGCCCAGTAACATCTCCATCGTGAGACTTTGTTGTTACTGTGTTTGTCATAACGAATACCTCATGGGGAGCTTACCAGGCTTTGCCGTGCAGGTGAGATACTCTCGGTAGCTTGCCGGGCTCTCTGAGAGGAGCGGAGGAATCGAACTCCAATTGTCTGGGTCAGCTGCCTGCAAGGCAAACACCCTACACGCTGTGCTATTGCTCCAGCCCAACACCCACTAGTATTATTTATATAATCTAATCTCTAAGTCTGAGTATAGTGATAAATTTATATTCAACTTCTCTAACCTTTTGCAAAAAAAAAAAATCATACATTTGAAGAACAATCTATAGGTAAAAATATTTGCATTTCTGCTACAGTTTCAGGTACACTTTGAAAAACAATCTCTTACCCCTTTCTTATTAAATCACTGTGAGTGTAATACTATCTTAAACAACCTTTTTTAACCTACTGCAACTATACATGAACCATCAAACCAAATATCCAATGAAACACAAAAATATCCGTACTTTCTGAAAGAGTTTTCTTTTATTTCCCAACTTTTATGAAATTTGATGAACTCACATTACTATGTGACCTACAATTTGGCCTTTTAATTGGCCTAAACCAATGTTTCTTTTATATATTTATATATATATATTTATTGAATCACTGTGGAAAAAGTTACTAAGCTTTCAGGTTTAAGTCTTGGTCATACAATGATCAAACACCTTTCCCTTCACCAGTACTCATTTTTCACCACCAAGAACCCCAGTATACCCCCCTCCCACCCCTCCAAATGCCTGTGAGGCAGATGATTTCTGCTTAACTCTTGTCTACATTGATTACTTTCATTATTTCGACAAAAGATGCACCATTATTGTTTAGAATTTCTCCCCAAACAATCAGAATTGCTGAAAAGGCATTGTAAAATATTTTATTTTCTATAGCTGGTTATGAGAATCATATAATGTCACGCGGTCACGATTTTGGATTTCTGCAAAGAGCCAGATAATTACGAGATTGGTTTCTGTGTGTCTGGTGTTATGGCCGTGCCAGAGAGCCGCTAGTGGGGGGTAACTCGTGACCTTGGTAGGGCATGAAGGATGTGCTGGTACTGAAGCCAATGTTTCTTAAAGTTCCTAATAATTCTATTCCATTACAAGTAAAATTTACACACACACACACACACACACACACACACACACACACACACACACACCTTTTGATGGGGAAGAATAATATAAAAGACATAATTGAATATTCTAAAACAGAAAACGATTGGCATTAGTTTACATGTTAAACCCAACATAGGATGTGTATCCTTTGTGGATGTCAGCCTGGTAAGAACATCTTCCTAAGGACTGGAAGTAGCTGTTGAAAAGAAACCTCCTTGGCAAGTTTTCTTTGCCAAGCCCCTTCCTGTGCACACTGTACCTTCCGGAGGGGTTTGAGCTTGGTCTCCATGATGAAGTCATACTTGCAGAGCTCACAGCAGCGTGTATCTGAGCTCTTGATCCACTGGTGGAGGCAGGATTGGTGGACAAAGCGCAGGGTCCCCGTGCAGCGACAGGGCGTGATGAGGGGGCTCTCTTCATCCCCTTCGCAGTGACATATCCTGGGGAGGAGACAGCAGTCAGCATGAGATCTCCGAGAAAGCTACTTTCACCAGGGATTTCCTCCAGGGCATATAACAGGGTTAGAGAACACACCTAAAGTTTAAAATATGCAGACGTTTCAGTCCAATTTGATGATAGAATTGAATAGATGACCAACATTAAAGCCTTTTTCTTGCATGTTCATTGAACTCTTGAGTCATACTAAAACGCTTTAGATGCTGGTACATGAAAAGTCATTATCATTTCAATCTGAAGCCAGTTTTTATAATACAATTACTGATGGTGTCCTCATTTAATAGGTCAGTATTTATAAGCTTAAAGTTGCTTTCATTTAATAGGTCAGTATTTATAAGCTTAAAGTTGCTTTCATTTCTGAAATGTTTAGTTCACAAATATCCTAATGAATATTTTAATCTGATAACTTGATGTGCTATTTTGATGACAGTAGGATAGGAGCATGGTATATATTTCAACACATATGATATTCTGCCAATGTGAACATTTTATGAAAATTTTTAATGTGTCACTAAAGCATAAAATAAATACAGAAATGTCTGTCAGTTTTGAAAGAGCACAAAGATTTTTCTAAGAAGATATACAAATTGTTGGTCCTCACATATGGCTGTATTTTTAAAAAGTCATTATTGTTTAAAAGACACAGAATGTGTTCAAGTTAAATGTATTAAACTTAAGACCAGTAGTCCTCCCGTTGTTCATCGATTTGCTCGAGAGGGCCCAGTAACGTCTCCATTTTTTTTGAGACTTGTTGTTACTGTGTTTGGCATATCGAATACCTCACGGGGGGCTTGCCAGGCTCTGCCATGCAGGCGAGATACTCTTGGTAGCTTGCAGGGCTCTCCAAGAGGGGTGGAAGAATCAAACCCAGCTTGGCCAGGCTGGCTGCACGCAAGGCAAATGCACTACCGCTGTACTATCGCATTAGCCTGTATTAAACAAAAGTTTAAATATATCAATACTAAATATATTTCTTTTTTTTTGTAGGGGTACTGCTATTTATTCAGCCACTGATTAGCTGATTGAATTGTGCACGAACTCCACCTTACTTTTTTTTCATTTTTTTTATAATTTTATTTATTGAATCACCGTGAGAGCAGTTACAAAGCTTCTGGGTCTAAGTCTCGGTCATACAATGAAACACACGTACTTTCACCAGTGCCCATTCTTCACCACCCAAAACCCCAGTATACACCCATCCCACACCCTCCCCCTACCTGTGGGGCAGATGATTTCCACATTACTCTCTCTCTACTTTGATCACATTCAATATTTCGACACCAGACCCACCATTATTATTTGAGATTTTACCCCAACACTCAGATCTGCTGAAAAGGCAACAGTAGACAATTTGTTTTCTATTGCTGGTTATGAATAATATATAATGTCACGTGGCTGCAGTAGGGCCTTGTGATTTTGAAGCTCCGAAATTTTAACACTTAAATCTGGAGGGATTTCTGCCAAAAGCTGCTGGGTTTTGAGATTTGTTTCTGACCCTCTGGGATCATGGCTGTTAAGCAGCTTGATCAGGAGCCAGAGAAGCCGTTTGTGTGCTATGACTTGGGATCTCGTTGGGGTGGGGAGAACAGGCCCGGCTCCACCCCCATCCCATGAGGCCCAAGATGTCTCGTCACTGGGGGCCCAAACCTCTGAAGGATGGCAGCCACCGGGCCGCCAGGGGGAACAGGCCAAAGTGCGAAATCTATTCCCACCTGGGTTGGCCCAGCATAGGTAACCTACTGCAGGGACCGGATGCATTTCTGCCAAAAGCCACTCTTTTTTGAGATTTGTTTCTGAGTTTCTGGGATCATGGCCATTAAGCAGTTCAATCAGGAACCTGAGAGGCCATGTCTCCAATTATATAGCTGAGCTGGAGGTGGTTTGTGGGTGTGTCTCCCACATACCTAACTTTCGGCCATTTACTTCCTTGGTAAACTTTGCTCCAGGTTTTTGGGGTCTGACCAAAGGCACAGCAGCAATTTTGGGGTATCTGGAAGTCTGAAGGCGCCATCAGGCTGCTGATGCACTTGCCTCACAGGTAAAGATTGACCTGCTGGTGGCACCATACCCCCTTAAATGTATTTCTTTAAGATTATTATTTACAGACCTGGTCAGCGATCAGAAGTGTCACACTACATGCCCAGTGGCACTGCCATTTAGACACAATGCAGTGCAGAATGTCTGGGCTGGCATGACTAAGTGTGTACAGCACGAAAACTAAGTGTGTGCACATAACCAGTGTGAACCCCCCCCGGCAAACATTGCAACTACAATGTGTAAGAACATTACAGCTAAAATGTACAATCCTTGGCAAGAAACATAACTCCCCTGCCAAAAAAATTGGGGGAGCACCTGAAACAAATGTGGGACCACCCCAATTAAGTATGTGTGAGGAGAACCCCCTGGCCACAGAGACAAACAAAAATAAGGCAAAGGAAGAGGGAAAATGGAATACTTGGTATTCTCAGAGGAATTGGAAAATACCTTATCCCTAGAACCATAAAAAAAAATTCATTATTCTCATCTTCAAATTTTAACAAATAATCTGTTTTCCTCATTGAGCAAGCTTTTTTTATCCCAAGGTCATGAATTTAAATCTTAGCACTTCACTAGCTCTTATGATTTAATCAGTTGTTACACATGTTAATTCATTAATTTCAAAATAATGATTGATATCTGTTAAAATAGGAATGAAATATTTAATCTGTATAGTATTTTTTTTTGAGTGGAGTCAAAGTGACATGCTGGGAAAATATGTGAATTGTTGCCATTGCCCTTACTTTTAAGCCTATATGTTGTGTTCACGGAAAGCATGAGTTTTAAAGTGTGAATTTAAAAAACATATTTGTTGAGTTCAGCTGTCACCCCTGGGGAAATAAAATGTTGCTCAGATTGTCATGGCAGTGAGATACAGGAATTGAAACTAACGTTCTCCTAACCTCAAAATAAAGAAGTATGACATAGTACATTAGTATTTTGACTTTCTTTTTTCCTTAAGTAAAAATAAAGTAAGCAAGAAGGAACATTGAATTCTAAAGCGCTTGGGGGTGGGAGTGTTAGATGAGTATACAGGGAAATTCAAACTCAATGTTTACCTTCCCCTACACTGAGTTAAGGAGTAGCAAGACCTGATGGAATGGCAGAGTCGGATGCAGCAGCATACATTAAAGGCCCTGTGGTTATTATCTGAGAGTCCATTCTGAAAAAGAAAAAGACTGAAATTTCTCCTCTTTCTAGACATACAGGTCTTCAGTGTCCTGGCTTAGTCTGCTTTGTGACATACCTGTTATCAGTAAAGCATTAATTCCATCAGAGATACATGTTGCCTAAAAAAAGCAAATGAAAGTGGGGCTGGAGAAATAGTACAGTGAGCAGGGCAATTGCCTTACACATGGCCAATCTGGGATCAATTCCCAGCATCCCATCGGTTGACCTGACAACAATCAGGTGTAATTCTTGGCACAGAGTCACCCCCTGAGAATGGACAGGTGTGGCCACAAAACAGAAACAAACAAAATAACTAATGCAAGTAAACCTAGGTTTCTACAGTGACTCATTTTGTATGATAGGTACATTAGAAACCATTAAACTCTTCTTAAGGAGCTGGAGCAATAGCACAGCGGTTAGGGCATTTGCCTTGCATGCAGCTGACCCGGGTTTGATTCCAGCATCCCATATGGTCCCCTGAGTACCACCAGGAGTAATTCCTGAGTGCCGAGCCAGGAGTAATCCCTGTCCATTGGGGTGTAACTCAAGAAGCAAAAAAACAAGCAAACAAAAAACTTTCTTAATTATACTATAGGAGATGTTAAAATTTCTTGTTGTGGAACCTCTTATCTCCCTGACTCCATATTAAGGATGTCCCCTGAGATCAGGGGTAAGAAACTAGGGTTCAATTCTTCCCAAAGCACATTTCTAAAACTTAAGTTCAATTGGAACACATCCATGGACATTTATTCATGAACCATTTAGAGCTGTGTTTGTATTCAACTTGTAGTTATGAGAGTTGCAGAAGAAACTTTGTGGGTACAGAGAGTGAAATATTTATTATCTGACCTGTTGGATAACATTAGTTTGTCCTTTCTCCCCCTGAACGGAACTTAAGTTTATTGGGTAACTCTCACCACAGTGCTCTCAAGGCACACCTAATTCCATCAGGCTCTCCCAACACTCTGTATTTATCTTTAACTTCTACTTTGGGCTCTTCTTCCTCTATCTGTTAATCACTTATATGCTCAAATTAGACTTTGTGACTTGTAAAGTTAGATTCTTCTGAGGACTTTGGATTTTGTATTTGTAAGTGAAATATTGCTTTTAACTTTCCTTTATGTCCTTTGCACAGTATATTTCAGTGTAATGTCTATTTTATATAGATATAGCAAGAAAATTGCTGGAGTTATAGCACAGTGGGTAAGGAGTTTGCCTTGTATGCGGCCAACCTGGGTTCGATTCCTTCATCCTTCTCAAAGAGCCTGGCAAGCTACCGAGAGTATCCCACCCACATGGCAGAGCCTGGCAAACTCCCCATGGCATATTCAATAAAACAAAAACAGTAACAACAAGTCTCACAATTGAGACATTACTGGTGCCCACTCAAGCAAATCGATAAACAATGGGAGGACATTGCTGCAGTTCTACAGCAAGACAATTAATAGTACACTTTTGTAACATGAGAGTTAATTGACTAAAAATATTTACTCCTGGGCATCTGTCATATTTACTTAATTTAAGCCTCAGTTACCCTAGTTCCTAACACTCCCAAATGGGGTCCATCTGAGGGACAAAGATGGACCCAGGGCAAGCATCAGCTACCCTAGCATCTAAAAGGGACAGGCTAAGCACCACAAGAAGTATAATAAGAGTATGGTCATAGAACAACTTCTGTCATGACCCAAAAAAGAAATAACTGAAAAGGGGCCTTGCTGGGGTTAGGAAAGACTAACCTGGCCTGAGAACTGTAGTCTGGGATATAGAGCAAGATGTC